TTTGAAAGACGCTTCATTGGGTCAACAAAATCACTCGAGCAATGAGTCACTTTCTTATACCTGATCGTCTTTGGATAAAATTGATGTATAACAAATTTGTGCTAAAGAATTATATCTTTTACTTTTAAAGCGAATACAAAATATGGTTTTGATTTAACTGATTCGATTTGAAAACTGATCATGAAGGTATCAGTGCCATAAAACAAACCTCACATTCCAATTAATTTAGAATACATGAGACTATTCACTTATTTGGTACATATTTGCGATAGAATCTTATTCTCTTATTCTACAAAGGAAATTTTAAAGTCTAAGAGATAACAATAGTAATCAGTAAGTGAGCAAATATCATAAATTCATAGTTGTAACAAAATCAATTTGTTAAGAATAATTCTAATTCTAACTGTCAAGCCATTGAAAAAATTATTGTAGTTTTTTGTGTTTAATTAAAAGTTTTGTCTGAGATACAGTATAATGTTTGAAACATCATATTTCAAACAGATATTTATCTCGGAGAGAATGAGAAGAATCTCATATTTATTTACTCATTTGAGAATGGGAGGAACATTTGAGAATGTGAATGGATGGAAAAATTTTTACTTCAACAAGTTCAATAAATTTGAAATTTGGAGGAATCAAGAAATTAAATATTCGACAGATGGAAAAAAGTTCAATGTCCCAAGAGTAATTCAATAGATTGGAAAAATTCAAAAATTGGAGAAATCCCAACCATTTATTCTAAAAAATCCGAAGCTCGTGAAAGCATTAAAAAGCGGAACAAAAAATTTTAAAATGCAATTGAAACCAAATGTTATCCAAAAATTAACAAACAATCCAAAAGATATGCATTAGGGAGAGATAATTAAAGGTGCAAGGAAGTAGAGGATTTTAAGCAACTTCAACAGATGCATAATATGAATAACTATAAAAAATTTGGCAATTAAAAAGTTTCCAAAATTTTTTGAGCAATTCAAATCCACAAAATATTCTAAAATCTAAAAAGCTTAAAAAAACAAAAAATCGATAAACTAAAGAAAGGTTGTGAATAATTCAGAAATTTAAAACACTAGAGGAAACATGAAAGTCAAAGTAAAAATCTCATTGCCAAGAAATTTAGATATTCGAAAAAGGTGTGAATTCAAGAGATTCAAACAAAGGTCCGAAAAAGAGGGAAACTGATCTTACTCGCATGTTTTAATACAAACATTTTTTTGAAAATATCGAATTTTCGAAGTTATGTAATGTTTCAAAGCGCAGATGACATCATATTTTTTGACCTTTCAGTGCAAAGTGCATTTGTGAGAATTTAATTCATCAATTGATTCAAAAATTTTTTTCAGAGATCTGAATGCAATGTTCCTCCAGGGTCGGATGAAAGCTTTCTTATTAATGGATCGTATGAGCAAAATTCGGATACAACAGTTATGGATGAGGAGACGTTAGTGCTAACAAATGCTTAACAACGATCCTTTCTTGTCAGGCAGAATTTTCCAGTGTGTTTGAAATTTTTTTAAAGGTTTTAGATTTGTAGGAGATGTTCTGTCACTTGAAGTATTTCCTTTCTAGTCATGACACAATTGTTTGTAATTTAATCCTCTTTCTTTTTTTTCGTTTCACTCTTATCAGTTCTAGTCAGTTCCGAAACTTCAGGAACAACGATGCTTTTAGCGGAAGAGAAAATGTAGAATTATACCACGAAATGTTGAAGAGTGTAGGAAAAATGAGATCTCTGATCAACGAAATGAAACGTATATCTGGTGCAAATGCTGAATATCATATTAAGGATAGGCAGGGGGAGGTGACAGCAGTCATTAATCTTCCATGTTAAATTTGTGGCCGTTTCCTTTCTGCAATGCGTAACCTACAAAGGCACAATCAACAATATCATGGCATTAGAGGTTAGTTTCACAAGGTTTATGCTTAGCAAAAGAGGTTTCAACGTATTTGCTCACATGAACATGTATTGGAAAACATTTACGATAGTGAAGTGGCAATTCAAAATTTAAAACCCATTGCAATATTTTTCAAACCTCAGCAGATAGCTGCTTGCCGTTTATCACAGCTGGTGCATGGGAGTTATTGTTATGATAGTTTTATTTGAAATATGTACAAAAACGAGTGAACAGAGTCTTGTAGTCTAAGTTAATCAAAATGCGATGTGATAAGTTTATTTCATGGCATTGATATTTTCATCAACAGTTTTGAAGTGGAATCAGTTAATTACTAAATGAAGTAATGGAGAAAATAATTACATCAATGTCGCTGATACAATCATTTTTCAAATTATATTCCAGTTGGGCAGAAGAAGATTAAATGTTGTTCTTGTGGTACACGACTATGCAGACGAGCAAGGAATATTCTAAACATCTTAAAATGCACAACAGCTTCACCTGTCCCGTATGTGGAAAGGAATTCTATTCCCTAGGAGGATTTAAACGGCATAAAGGAGTGCATCAACCTAATCTTCTATGTCAAAATTGTGGCCGTTTTCTTTCTACAATGAGCAACCTACAAAGGAACAATTAACGATGCTTCAACGTTAAAGATTAGTTTCGTAAAGTTTATGTATAGCAAAAGAAGTTTCAAGGTATTTGCTCACATGAAAATGTGTTGTAAAACGTTTACGGCAGTGAAGTTACGGCATTCCGAAGTTACGTTTACGGCATTCTATCAGGCTTCTATCAGATGTAACAAAAAGACTTCGATTCTATCGCAAATATGTACCAAATAAGTGAATAGTCTCATGTATTCTAAATTAATTGGAATGTGAGGTTTGTTTTATGGCACTGATACCTTCATGATCAGTTTTCAAATCGAATCAGTTAAAT